CACACACACACACACAAACAGAGTAATACATGAGGCTTTCTCCAGGCACAATCGGATTTTTGAACCTCCCTAATCCCTGGTTACAATCTGCATCCTGCCATCAGTGAGCGCAAAGAGAGGGAGTTAAAAAGCCGGGGGGGGGGGGAGGGGGGTGCTGAGGCTTCCTGTCTTGGGATCCATTGCTGAGCTCCAAACCCCGCCCCTTTCCACCCTGCCAATCCTGGCTCTAACACACGTAGACACAGTCAAACACACATGAAGGATGATCTCTAGCTGTTGACACACACCTCAGCGCACGCTCTAAGCCACGAAGACAGACACTCATTGCTTCTAATCACTGGTGGGATGGAGGGGGGATAGCCGTGTAGATATATCTGCATACCTCTTTTTTTCTTTTTATGTTGTTTTTCTTTCTTTCTTTTTATTTTTCTGGTACCGCCAACGCTCTTCATGGAACTGACTGGCTTGGGGAGGACAGAAAAAGCAATTCAGAAAGCGCGCTGAACTCATCAGCTGACATCAGCTTAAAACCGGGGGAAATTTCTCTATTTTGCAGCTGCCCTGTGTTGAGGACGAACGGCCGCTACGCACACTTATCAACGTCACTGTCACTGCCATGCCTCGATCTGGAGTTCCCCAGCATGCTTAGTTCTCTCTTCTACCTAATCGCTCGGGCCTTCTGATGCCTTCATGACTCCAGGCCACCTGGTTCACAACTACCCAGTCCACTTCTACACCTGCTGGAATCATCCAGACACATCCCTTGCAAAGGGTTACCTTTGCACTTGATGCATGGATCCTGAAAGGACCGGGGGCAAAGGAAAGAGGAAGACCATGCTCCTCTGGTGGATTTTACTTTTCTCCCAAGGATCTGTATTTCACAGTGTTTGTGGGGAACTCCCTTTTGTGTCAAGCAACAATGCAGCCATGCTGGTAAACTGGTGAGTTGGAGGGAAACTGTTTTGCCCTGTTTTGCCAAAGCTGTGTGCACAGCATTTAAAATGATTTATTATTCTCTGGAAAATGTCCTTCTAGATCATTTAACTTCTTAACACCCGGTAAGTCAGTGTCAATGCATCAAGTGTCAGGGTTAGACATAATGGGAGGGGTAGTGGTAGTGTTTTTATAGTACCTTAAAAGAAAAGTATTAAGATACAAACTAAAAAAAACTGTTCATTAGATATTTGCTAGACATTAAGGCTAACACCAAGCCCATTCCTAACCCTAAATGGGTTACTGGTGACCAGATGGGTCTTCAGAGGTTCACAGGATATGGCGTTTTGTCCCAACACTGACGTCGCAAAGGTTCCTGACAAGCCCTGAGGTCCCTGCAAACTGTAGACGTAACTGTTGCTAGGGTAAGCCTTATCTGCTTTTAGAGTCAGGGAGTTATTTAAGGAAAGTATCTGAGACGGAAGAAGCCGTGACCCTAAAGATGTCAGGTCTTTAAAGAAAAACTCCCTCACTTATCTCCACTTTCACATCCTCAAGGGGGAGTGCCTCAGATTAGTGTTGTAATTAAAGTCAAACACCATCCAGCATCTGACACACAAAACGTCATGAATACTGTTCATTAGCTACTTTTAGCTAGTCACAACATGTAGCGCCACACACTTGCTTTCGCAGATCTGTACACCAGATATCCTTCCTGACACAACCGAGAGACGTGTTTCCTCTCAGACTCAAACCAGGAATATCTGGCTTGCTAGGCAAATGTATAAGCCACTGTATTATGGAGCCACTCATTATCAATGTTCATTGTCAAGAAATAGCTAATATTACTAAATGTAACTGCTTAGCAACCACCAGGTGGGTGGTCCCATCTGGAGTTATGGTTAGAGATCAAATTTGTTAAAGTTTTTTCTTGTCTGGAAAGGCCCAGTTGAAAAGCTTTTCACTGAAAAACTGTAATGCCAAAGTGTATTCTTCTCTGAAAGTGTGTCCTTTTGCTTGTGGCTAAAAAAAACCCCAAACCGTAACCCTAGGTGGACATGGCGAACGAGGTTAATCTTAAATCTCAAACTGTATCCCTGCATACAGTTAGACATAAAGGTTTTGACAGATGCAATGTTACAGGTTAGAACTGCATCTATAAAATTATTTGTTAACAAGACTGAAATGTTTTCCTCCACTATTACTCTACATACTAACATGTTGGACTAAAGCCATTCAGTTGAGGCGATCAGATTTCCTTGTATTACTGTGGTCTTCAAACTTTTAGGACCATGTAACAGAACAACTGCTATATATATTTAAGAAAAGAAAATTTCAGAAAGTAGAACCTCTAATTCCCATCTGTCACTGCACCCTCGGTAACACCTGTTCACTGCATTCAATATTTCATTTAACACAATAGGGAAAAGTGCAAGATCAAAAACCAGAGCTCAGATCTGGCACATCTTAGAGTGTCATATTTGGTCTGTCAAAGTTATTAGTGAGAGAGTCAAAGATATAAACAGTAAATTAACCTTCTGGGCTGAATGTGACCCCAGAGCTCAAGCTCATCAGCAATCTCCACCACTGATTTGGGCAGTTTCCAGACAGAAGCTTTGAGCTGCATGAATGATTTACCGCCTTTGGTCCTGGAGATAAATGGAATTCTCGGATAATGTTTAGCTTTTTGTGGTAGCAGGCACGACACCAGATGGTGGCTCGATGATTTGGGTAATATCATTAGTACTATCAAATACAACATATGAACATAAATACTGTATCATAGTTATTATACTTAGAGTATATATTGTTTATATCTGATCAGCCATATGAGAAGGAATGGGTTGGATTAATTTATCTCCAAAGGGTTGGATGATGCGACATTCTTACAACTTCATTTGACAAGAAATTTAGATACTGTGCTATTTTGGTTTGCTCTGACTTTTTGCACACCCATGTGCACAGCCACATGGTCTACATCCAGCCTCAGCCCTCTATATGTTAAGTTGGGGGCTGGGTGGCTATATTTTAGAACAATTTTTGTGCAAGTACAAGTGATTTGTTTATATTTGTTCAAAAACTCAAATCACTTACACCTGCTTTAGGGTTTTCTGGGTGGTGTTAGTGGCAGAAATATGCAACTAAGCAAACAAAAAATGATCCAAATGGAGATGCTTTAAACAAATTTTAATAGTTTGAAGTAGACCATTTACTAATTTTTGAAAATCACATAATTTAGCATGTGGCTAAACCTACACTAAACTCTAAGTCAAAAACAGGTTGCTAACGACCTGGTGGATATTAACAGGTTAAGCACATAACTCAGTAATTGGCCCTAAATGTAAACACAGGTTTGTAAAGATCAGTGAAACAGCTTCCATGTACAGTGGATGAATTTCTCACCATTTTTTTCCTTTTACTGTAACTACATTACTGTGTCTTTAAACCAGGTTTCTAGAATCAACTACACCGTAAAAAAAAAAAAATCCTAAAAAAAACAGTAATATTCTGGCAGCTGGGGCACCAAAATAATAACAGAAAATAACAGAAAATAACTTTCACATGAAAATACAGTTATTTTCAGTAATGACAATACAGTTTGTTGCCCTAATTTTACATGGGATTTTGCCTTTTTCAAGTGCTTTTAAACATTAAATTAGGTACATTTTAATGTGATCAACCAATGAAATTACCTATAAACAAGGTCAATGAATGCGGCAATATGAATAATAATACTTAAATGTACAGAAATATACAGTTAACAGTTGGTTTAAATAATAATAATGGATTGCATTCATATAGCGCTTTTTGAGACCCTCAAAGTGCTTTACAATTCCACTTTATAATTCCCCTCTGGCCATCACCAGTAGGTGGTAGGTGAAGTGTCTTGCCCAAGGACACAACGAGTGTCCGAGCCGGGGATCGAACCGGCAATCTTCTGATTACAAGGCGAACTGCCAACTCTTGAGCCACAATTGCCCTAAATAACAATAATAATCATTATTATTTGATGTAAAAAAAGTTAAGAATCATTTTATTTTTTTCCATAGCATTACATTTGAATTAAACAGTTCAATCTTTCAAATAACGGACAAATATTTGTGAAATTATGATACATTTGTGAATATATTTTAACAATCTAAATATGCATATGTACAGACAGATACATTTAAAAAACAAGAAAATTATGTTTTATTACATTTACAGTGATTTTATGTTGATTTACATTTGAAATGTAAAATCACAACCTATTTATGTATATTTAATGATATTCTAGAAGAACAGTACAAAACTGTAAAATATACAGTAACATACTTTTATATTACATTTTTTTTACAGTGTAGTCAACCAAATGCTTTTCAGTGCAGCAGTTAGAAACTAGACTTATGTAACTCTTGGCTTCTTGCAAAAGTATTCACATTTGCAAGAAGCCACCATTTAACCTCTTCACATCCACCTGTCATAGGGTTAGAGCTGGGTTTGTTTTAACCAAATGCTAAGCTGTTGAAATTTTAAGATCTTACCTTTCAAATTAAGTGTCATCTACACTTTTGGGCTAAAATTGACCCTCAACCTAGTAGATCCTAGAAATAAACATGCAGTTACTCTGTGAGCTACTAGCTTCTACCATTAACTAGCACATTAATTAACATGTCAAACCATTCAGTGTTATAACCTACTAGCCAGGCAGTCATCAGTCCTTTAACCAACAAGAGCTTTAGCCTTTCACTTAAACCATTGAGTCACCAAGCAAATATTTAAAGAGCTGTGGTACGCAAATAAAAAAAGGAGGGGAAATCCACACTTTTAATAACGGTTCTACTAGATACTAGAGGAAAGTGTATTACAGTTTGGTTTTACATAAGAGTATTAAGCAGATGACTTTCAACACCCACACCACACCCTACCAGCCCCACGTGTCAAAGTGAGGCCGTCCAATCCCAACATGCACAAAGGCCACACACAAACACACACACTTTTTTTTTACTCTAGCTTGGCAAAGACCTAAATTGTTATTATCATGATTATTTTTTCACTTAAATCGTTTCCTGTATAATCACCTTAAAGTAAAATGTCTCCTGTAAAAGCAACCCGGTTTAACGCTTCACCTTAAAGCCTAAAAACTTTAAAGTCCTAACCCCCACAATAAAGAAGTAACTTCTGGTCCTCCAGCTTATTGTCACAATGACCCTGCTGTGTGACTGTCACAGTGACGACATTTGATACAAAGATAAATATACAAATGCACACACCAGCAAACACACAGACACACCCAGCCAATCCCTCACTGAGCTGTGATGTCATCTTCTTATGCAAAAGCTGATGGGTGGTTGGATGGGGGATTAACCCTAGGACTCAGGTCTCTCTCGATTTGTGTATGTGTGCATGTGCGCGCATGCTTCTATGTGTGTGCGTGTGTGCAGGGATAAGTGTTGTTTGACAGGGCTGTCCGAGCCTGTAGACAGCTGGTTGTGAGAGGGATAGGCTACTCTGCACTAGCCTCCACTCATTGACTCTTAACTACTGATAATGTTTCCCACATTTCCTCTCCACCTCGCAGCACATCCATTTCTCCCTACAGTGTTTATCTTCCCTAATCTAGAATTAGTTACATCACCTTAACTAATTCGTACCGTGCAACATAATTCACCTCAGTGCTAATGAAAAATACACAATGCAATGCTTGCACTATGTTCTGATTGAGGTTTCTTTATTTAATGAAAATAATAAATAATTAACAATTTTTAAAAAATTTTATAACTTAAAAAAAATTTTTGAACAGTGGCACAGTTTTCATAATGTTTGTACACAACACAACATATTTGAAGTTGAACAATCAATGTTAAATTAACCCAAAGTTGAATTTAACCTCTTAAATCCAGATGTTAAGGGGTTAAGAAAAAATATAGATTTGACTAATGAACTAATTACATTCTTATGTACCGTCCCTTTTTTAGAGAATTAAATGTAGTGCAATAATTTAATATAATCGTAATAAAATCTTTTT